TTTTTTTTTTTAGGTTTCTGTGTTGGTCTCCTCTTGCTCGCCGGTCGGGACACTCCACACTGCTCTTCCGCCTCAGAAGCACGAAGACATCGGCGTCAAGCCACGCGTGTGACTGGAAACGTATGTGGAGGCGCGTCGGCTTCTGTAAACAAAGGGATAATTTTTTAAAAAATACCGTCTTCTTGGCAGAAGGTCCTTCAAAGCGAAGGACACAACCGTGCGGTATCACCGGCCGATCCGCACAGCTGACTCTGGTCTGGCTCCGGGTTCAACCGCTCCATAAGCTCAGGCTCAATTCCATCCGGACGACTGTATGAAGCCTTTGATCTGCACATATCCTGCACGACCATGAGCCTAATTTACCCCATTGGCCTCGACGGCCTCGAATCATTTTTTCTTTTGCTCGTGCTATTTTCGCATTCCCTCGAGGTCGTGTGAAAGCGGTCTGTGCGCCTCGCCGATGTTTGCTGCATTGCTGCGGCCGATGCGTGCCGACGCCGACCAGCAGCTTCGTCTCCTTTGTGCGCTAGCAAGGCGGCGCGTGCTCGGCGCCCACCGTCGGCATTTCCGAAGCTCTCACTACCACTTTCCCACGATCATTCTGTCCAGCGCCGGGACCGAGCCGATACGGGCCCGTGGCAGAATGCTTACAGCGTCATCGCCCTTGGCCAAACAATGAATTCACACTGAAACAACAGCTTCGACGGCACAACAGTGATGGACGATTCGAAGGGTATTGTACAAATGCGAGAACCATCCAGCACCGCATTGGATGGCTGCACAAAGAACGGCACGACGAGGCAGCCGAGACGGCATCGGCTCATCCGAGCCAGTTGCGAAAGCCTCGTGTAAGCAAAAGGAGGCGCGGCATCACGATCCATTCACCAAGCAAGCGTGAGCGAGCGAACATGACATCGGCCAGGAAAGAAAAAAGGGGTGTCGATTCCCAGAGACGAGGGAACCAGCTTTTGGAGGGCTCGCGCCCAGCTGCACAAGGGACGCAAGAGCAAGTGTACGAGACGCTTACTCCTCGTCGTCCTCGGCGGCGGCGACGGGGGCGGCAACAGCGACGGGCTTGGGCTGGAGAGCGGCGATCTTGGCGCGCTTGGCGAGCTTGTGGTTGGATCGCTGCGAGAGGTCTCCACCACCCCAGTGGCGGCGGATCTCCTCGGCCTTGTCGAGGTAGTTGGCCTTGGCGGCCGAGACGAGGTTGGCGAGCTCGCGCTCGTCCTCGGAGCGGACCTCCTGGATGAGGGCGACGGCGGCGGTCTTCTTGTGGACAAGAGCGCCGATCGAGGCCTTCGACTTGACAATGACGTAGGGGACACCCATCTTGCGGCAGAGGGCGGGCAGGAAGACGACGAGCTCGATGGGGTCAACGTCGGCGGCGATGACGACAAGGCCGGCCTTCTTGGCCTCAATCAGGGCGACGCAGTGGTTGAGACCGTACTTGACGAAGAGGGGCTTCTTGCCGTCAGCCTTGGCGTCGGCCTTCTTGCCGTCGGCGATGTCCTTGGCGGCAGCATCGAGACGGGCCTTCTTCTCCTGCTTGGACTCGGGGCGGTACTTGTTGAGGAGCTTGAACAGGTTGGTGGCGGTGTTCTTGTCCAGGGTGTTGGCGAACTGGGCGATCGCGGGAGGGACCTTCAGGCGCTGGTTGAGGATGACCTTCTGGCGCTGGAGGCGGACGTACTCGGGCCACTTGACGAAGCGGCTCAGGTCACGCGGGGGCTGGATGTCCTGGCCAATGCCGAAGTTGCGGGGGCGCTTCTCGAAGAGAGGGTTCTTGGGGGCCTTGGTAGCCTTGCCCTTGGAGTAGGGGGCGGCGGCGGGCTTCTTGGCGGATCCGGTCTTGGCCTTGGGCTGTAGAGAGGAAAAGTCAAATGCAAACACACAACGCGAGACGGGGGAAGGGTACGACGAGCGAGAGAAAAGCAGGGGGGTCATTGAGACGAGGTCAGCATCCTGTGCCATGTTTGAAGCGTGGAAAGCGACAGACATTTGTAGGGCAACGGGATTGAAGACAGACTCGGTGCTCTACAGAAGCGACCGGCCGCTCAAGCGATGCTCGATTCGAAAGCCAAGGTTGACCTCGAAGGGTCTAGCGATCCCCGAGCTGACCAGGGCATCGTCGTGCGTAGCGAGAGACGGCGCGGATCGCTTCATCCCCAAAGGTACTGGAGGTCCGAGGACGGCGTGAAGACGACATTGTGTTCTGCCATACACGCGGTCCGCCGGTCCACGGCAAGTGCACCGCGATGCAAAGCGAGAGCCGAATAGTCGCGAACGGGAGAGTGGAAGGGTGCCATCAGAGAGCATCGTGACATGCCGTGTGAAGGTTGGCACGATGCTCTTAAAGGCAGCAACTCCTTTCGACGATCATCTGCTGGAAGTATGGTTGGTTTCCGATGCGATGCAAGGACGGGTGCGCATTGTCGAGTACAGCCAGAGCGGCATCGGCGAAGAGGCTGCTGTTGGCGGGGGTTGGGAGCAGCGCATCATGTCCTCAGATCCCGCATCTACTGATGTCCATGGCGCTATGTTGGGCCATGTGCTGAGATGCGTACCATTTTGGATGATATCAACGGTCTTGAGAGAGGGTGATGATGGTGAGCAGAGAGAAGGTCGGCGTGCAAATGGCAAAGACTTGGCTCTGCCGACTTGCTCGCGTGCTGGGAGGGGCAGCACAGATGCCACTCTCTGCCTTGCGCGCGATTCGAAAATTTATGGGAAAGCTCGGCCGAGCTTCAGTAAATCACGTGCCAAAAATTAATGAGCCGTTACAGACACGCGAGCTTGTGACGGCCTAACAAATTAAAATACTCTCTTCCAGGAATCGGCGGCGTGATCCCGATGCGCGAGGCCTGAGACTGCCACACACGTCAGACCTGGCCAAAGTTGATCATGGTTGCGGAACAGGACCAGCGCCAGGCTACCGCTCGAACGGGTCAGGCTTCAGGCTCGTTCCGCAAAGGTCACGCAGGCGTGCCGACGCTTTCAAGAGGACCATCTCGGCTGGAAGGATCAAAGACCCTGGCTGAACGGAGACAATCGGAACCAGACCGCAAAGAGGCGCGGTGGCGTGTGAAACAGCGCACAGCGTTGCCAAAGTGACAGATGCATTTGCCTGATGTCTCCTGTGATCACTAGCAAGGCTACTCGTCAGGGTGCATCGTATCGCCAGGCTGACCGGACCGGGTATCTCGCTCCGCGTTACGCTGGGATGAGGCTCTCACGGGGACGAGACCTGCGAGGCAGCTGCAGGCCGCGGCAAATGTGGGAGGGGACAGAAGAGCTAACAGCGAACGTACGGCCCACGAGGCAAGAAGGTGTGATGGGCCCGATGGTTGGACGATTGCGTGCGGCAGAGGGAATCGCCGAAGTGGTGCCGAGGGGGCGGAGGAGCAGCTTGGCCCAACAATCGCAGCGAGATGTTCTTCCTGATCCTTCCGCAGGCGGTGCGCGCTCGGGGCAATTTCCGAGTCTTTGACGACAGATTGCCAGACGAGAAGCACGGAATTCGAGCGGAGCGGCACTCCACTCTTTCTTTGCGATCTGGCGGCGGAGCGCGTTTCGCCCGCTTTGCCTGCTTGGTCGGCCCCAAAAGTCGATTTCGAGCGCCTCCGAGCGCTTCCGTTGAGCGGCGCCGAAGAAAAAGGAAATTCGTCATCCCATCGCCTGGTGCGCCCCGGCTGGCTCGAGTGTGGATGCGAGTGTGACTCTGTCTGTGCCCAGCGCCTGCGCTGCCATCGGCCGTGGACTTGCCGGTGGTGATGCACCGATTCCACGTTGCCCACCTACCTCCATCACGTCTCCTCGATCTCATCTTCCGTGTTTCGCCATGTTCGCTCGTCAGGCTCTCCGTTCGGCTCAGGCCACCTCGCCCCGCTTCTTCTCCACCTCGGCCTCGGCCAACCGCGCCGTCGCCGTGCTCGGTGCTTCGGGCGGTATTGGACAGCCCCTCTCGCTGCTTCTCAAGCAGAACCCCCTCGTGACCGACCTCCGCCTCTACGATGTGCGCCTCGCTCCCGGTGTCGCCGCCGACATCTCGCACGTCAACACCCCTTCCACCACCACCGGCTACCAGGCCGACCAGCTCGGTGAGGCGCTCAAGGACGTCGAGGTCATCGTCATCCCCGCCGGCGTGCCCCGCAAGCCCGGCATGACCCGTGACGACCTCTTCAACACCAACGCCTCCATCGTCCGCGACCTCGCCAAGAAGGCCGCCGAGGTCGCCCCCAACGCCCACCTCCTCATCATCTCCAACCCCGTCAACTCCACCGTGCCCATCGTCGCCGAGGTCTTCAAGAAGGCCGGCGTCTACGACCCTAAGAAGCTCTACGGCGTCACCACCCTCGACGTCACCCGTGCCTCCACCTTCCTCTCGGGCATCTCGGGCAAGAAGCCCGCCGAGACCATCGTCCCCGTCGTCGGCGGCCACTCGGGNCACTCGGGTGTCACCATCGTGCCGCTCCTCTCGCAGGCCAACGGCGGCGACGCCGTCGCCAAGGGCGAGCAGTACGAGAAGCTCGTCCACCGCATCCAGTTCGGCGGTGACGAGGTCGTCAAGGCCAAGGACGGCGCCGGCTCCGCCACCCTCTCCATGGCCTACGCCGCCGCCGTCTTCTCCGACTCGCTCCTCAAGGCCCTCAACGGCGAGCAGGGCGTCAAGGAGTGCGCCTACGTCGAGTCGCCCCTCTACAAGGACCAGGGCGCCACCTTCTTCGCCAGCCCCGTCACCCTCGGCAAGAACGGTGTCGAGGAGATCCACTCCGTCGGCAAGGTCTCCGCCGAGGAGGAGAAGCTCCTCGAGGCCGCCATCCCCGAGCTCGCCAAGAACATCAAGAAGGGTGTCGACTGGTACGCCGCCTCCCCCTAGATGTCCCATGCCCTGCAACCGTGATGTCCGAGCGATCAGCGGAGTTTGCGCCTGATTCGCTGCACTGACCCGCACTTGCACGTCAACCACTTCGCTCGCGCACTCCACTCATGCCAATGCCATCAAAATTCCCCACCACTCGGAGCCCCACTCTGACCGCATGAGGCTGAAAGCACAGGCTGTGGTATTTTCCGTCTGCGTGGTATGGATGGTCTACAGCGAAGAGGGTTGTGTAGGGTCTGAATGGACTGCCGTGCCCTGATTCGAGTGCACGGCAATACCGTCGGAGCGCTGTGTAGGATCGTCGTGGATCGCACTGTTTGCAACTGCGTCGCCGGATGCGGTGAAGATGGCATCAAATGTTGGAGCGCCCGCATGCTTCTGCTCTGGATCCTCGACGGTCTGCGCCTGCCCTGACTGCTGCGGGTCGAAGGCATACCCGGCCGAGGTGTCTGCGGACGCAGCGGCGTTCGACAGTGCTGCAGCCGCAATCGCAAGTTCAGGTATGCCGTTCTGGTCCGCACTTGCATCGCGCTCCATGGCCAAGCCGAGCGCCGAACCGGGCACGAAGCTCGGGTCGGTGCGCGCGCGCGCATTGTACGCAGCCGCCAGGTCTTCCATCACGTCGGCCTTGTCGAAGCAGTCTTCGTACGACAAGCCGTACTGACGGAAGCCGGCGACGATGATGTCGACCTCGGAGCGCTGGAAGCGGATGAGCATGTGCGCCGCCATCTCGAGACTCTGCAGCGAATTCGCCGGGTCCAGTCGAAGATACTGGTTGCTGCGCAGAATTTCGGTCAGCCCAGCAATACGCAGCGCGCTGTTGAGCGCTTCCTCCTGGATCGTGGCCAGCACGGCCTGCACCCGGTCAGGGTCAGGCGCGTCTCCGCGAGCCACGTCGCGCTCCGACGCACTCCGTCTCTTGAGCCTGTCCTGGTGGATTGGCGATGTTGCATCGGAGCGGTCCGTGCCCAAGATACCCGTCTCGTCGACGAGTCGCCATAGGCAGATCCAGTTGGCGTGGTAGTTGATGTCGCTCGTACACGCGCTCACGGCTGCAATGTAGTCCCAATGCGGCGGCCAGTGCGGCAGCGGCACACCGACCTTTTCCAGATGATCGACACGCCACTTCTTGAGCAGCTCAGCGGCCTCGGCGACCTTGTCGAAGGGCACGCCTTCGATGTGGCTACGCGGCGCAAAGTGCATCGCCGAGACCTTGCTCTGGAACGTGACGGCGTCGTGCATGGACCCGAAGAAGGCGAGGTACGAGTCGATGCTGTCGAGCGGATGTGGCGCCACCTTTTTGTTGTCTGCGTCTGCGACAGGTGGGTCGCTGTTGTAGTCTTCGGCCGAAATGAGCGAGCGGCGCTGGAAGTACAGCGCCGAGGCGGCGTCGGCCATGCATGCAAGCCACCACGCGAACAGCGTCTCGCCGCGCAACGCCGGGTCCTTGATGGTCATGACCTTCTCCTTGCAGTGAATGCCGAGGTCGATCATATGCTTGATCGCGATCACGTACCAGTGCCCGTTGGTGTATTCGAGCAGGCTGCGGTGAGGCGCGGCGATGGGCGTCCCGGCGATGTTCGGATTGCCATTGAAGTACACCGAGGGATGCAGCAGCATGGATTCCATCAGCAGACACGCCTGGGCGTTTTCGAGCGTGGCGACACGCGCCACGCGGAGACGGTCCATGATGTCCTGCGCTCGCCAGGTGAGATGATCGGCAATGCGATTGCGGCCGTGGTCGCGCAGCTCCTCGGGTACGGTGAGGATGGGCTGCTCGATGCCGCCCTTGATGCCCGTGATTTGATCAGCCTTTTCGGACTCGCCCTTGAGCAGAGCTGCCTGCGCCTGCTGGTGCGCCTTCTGGAGCTCGACAGCGCTCTCGGCACGGTCCTGCGCGATGAGCGGATTTTCGCTGAACTTGGCGCCCCATGCAATGACAATGGCGAGCGTGACATCCGACGGCGGACCGCCGAGTTCCTTGCTGCGCTCGTAGTAACGCTTGCGGAAGGTCTGCGGATTGAGCAGGGGCAGCCGCGCATGCACAACGGAGAAGAACGTCTCGACGAGGTCGTTGACAAAGTCCTCCCTCCTCTGCCGATCGAGCAGATGCAGCTCGGCATTCGTGATGGCGGCGGGTTTTGGTCCAGGAAGGTAGGCGGTAGGGAGGATGTTGCGCACGGTATAGCCGCTTGCCGAGAGCGGCGTGTTGCATGGCAGGATGTTGTAGTAGTAGACATGGTTGTCGATGGGTGCGTACTCGGTATCTCGTTGGAAGAGGGCGTTGAGCAAGTGGTCTTGGGCGTTTACCGCCGCGTCGGCGATCTCGGGTGGTTTGGGGATCTCCTTCTTCTCCTCTTCCGAAGCAGCGAGTAGCGAAGTGCGTGCTCGCTTCACGGGCCGCTTCGAGGATGACGTCGCCCACTGGACGTAGAGCGTGGTGCACTCAATGTTCTTGGCCTTGCAGTGGTTGCACTTGGCCTCGCCCGGGTCGCGGTTGCAGCGCACCTTGCGGCTGCGGCATGCGTCGCATGCGCTGTTCTGCTTGCGAGAGGCCATGAGGATCGTCGGCCCACTGCGGCTCGGCGATGCCGATGCGGACGGCGGTCCACTGGGCGATCGATAGGCCGAGAGATCGGCGCTGCCATTGGCCATGCTGCCATGACGGCCGCCGTCGTCGGCATCGTGGTCATGCTCTGCCATCCCTCTCTGTGCTGGGCTGGCGTCGCCTGCGTCCTGTCCGTTGATGTTCATGCTTGTTGGATCACGCTCGATGTTGAGCGCCGAGCTCGCCTGTGCATGGATGCCGTTGTGATTCGAATCGGTCGCATGCTGCCACGCCGACTCGTGCCTGCCAACGTCGTCACTCTCGCTCAGACCTACCGACGGCTTGGTCTCAGACGCGCCGGTATCCATCGAGGCTCTGTGCTAAATTGCTTAGCCTCGCCGGCACTCTGTGGATGCTTGGTCGGCGCACTTATCTATTCCCGGCCTCGTCCTCGTCAGCGACGGCCGAGGCGCCGTGCGTCTTGCGATCGCTCCGCACACGGTCGGTGGCGAGCGCAACGATGATGCTGCGGGGCCAGGGCCCGTGGGAGGCGTGCGATGCTGTTGGCGACGGCGCCAAACGTTGAAGTCCGCAAAGCTCGGCCCACGAGCTGAGCGGGAGCCGGGGTTGGGGGGCGGGTATGCGGGGTTGGTGCGGGTCCGAGAATGAACTGGTATCCGGATGGAATGGAAATTTGGGAGGGGAGAGCGGATCCGAGCGATGGCGAGCGACCCTTCTTTAAAGGCGCTCCCGGCCACGCACGGCGCAGCATAACAGGCGCGACAAGCGTTCGTCCGCCTCAAACCTCCGAAAGCGGAATCCAGGCAAAATCGCCAGGGCAAGAGCCATTCCTTTGGGCGCTTTTTCACTCAGCTTAACAGTCGCCAATTAAATCGCCACCCGCTTGTCAACACAGCTCGCCCTTCTCACCTCCCACTGATTCTGGTCAATGCACGGCCGGACCCTGCAGCAAACCACACCTGCAGCTAAGTTGACTATCTTTGCAGCTGTCAGTAGTGCAAACGGCTTGGTTAGATCGGCTGTGGCAGCCGCACAAAGGATGTTCTCGCATCTGCAGAGTGCTGCTCGTGAGGTTGAATCACTGCATAGCTGTCTGGTTGGATGCGTGCACCGAGCCGTCGGCGGCCGGTGTTGCTGACGGAAGCGGGGCACTCTGTTGTGCGGCGTCTCGACTGGAGGCGGCCCTTGCGTCCGCCTCCATTTCGCTGACTGCCTCGCGCTCCAACTGTTCCAAGTACGCACGCTGTGCCTGCATCACGGGCGTGTCTCGCGATCCATCGCCGGGGAGCGGTTTGGCGGCCATCTTGATCGCAAGGTCCTTGGGGAAGCCCCGCTTGACGGCCCTCCTCACGCGCGCGAGGAAGGCGTTGCGTGCACGACGAGCATCTGCCGTGGTCATGCCTAGCGTCACTAGCGATGAGGGCAGATCCGGGATATACGTGTTCTCTGGCGCTGCCGTGCACTGGATGCTGATCTTTTTGAGCGGATGCTGGGTAGGATCCTGGATCACGATGCCCCGCTTCGAGGCACGGCGCACGCGGGCTAGGAAGGCGTTTCTTGCACGCCGATCCACCGCTCGCCGCTCAGCCTCCTCGGGGGTAAGCACCAGTTTGCGACGCCCGCGGCGACGCGGGCCAGCAACAGCCTTATCCAGAGCAGGAGTCGGCTGTGCTGCCTCCTGCCTCTGAAAATCCGAAGCTCGCTCTTCGGAATCCGACACGTTCC